ATATAGTTGTATTTTAAATTACAAATTAAAGGTCTTGCTTGCAACAGGTGTATCTTTACAGTCAGGAGTGTAATTATGTCTAATTCATGGAAGAGGAGGGGAAAAATACATCTGGATATACTGAAGTTGTCTTTTGCATCCTTAATACTAATTTTTTCAATCTTTTAATTTCATCCAATTTCTTAACTATTCCTTTATATTTTCTTCATGCAGTTAAATACTTATGGACATGTTTAATGTGCATAAGTAAAAGGCTTAAATTTAAGCTTGTGAATTGATAAATCCATGAAGTCAGTGCCACTCACTGTGTGCTTTAAGCAGCATTTTTTGTCGTAAGACATAGTACCTTGCATGTTTCTCGTGTGATTCAGGAATTCAACAAAAATTAGTGAAAATATATACTGTGACCAATCTTGAAAAATATAAAGACATCAGATAATCTATGGACTCAAATCTGCATAGAGATTTGCATCAATTAACTAGCTGTAACTAAGTATTTCCAGAGACTCTGTTCAGTAAATTTGCCATTTCATTACCTTGGAAATTTTGGAAAATTTGATACAGTCTTAGTGGATAGGAACAGTAAGCAAAGCAAAGCCAGAATTACTGGTTCTTTTCCCTTCTCACTGAGTGAAAAAGAATTTTTAATAGTTCATTGCACTGTTAGAGGTTTTGGTTTTCTTTTTTTTTTTTAAGTAACTAGAATGATCATTTACATTTGGGAAAGTTTTTCAAATCTAATATACGCAAAAATAAGATTTTCAGTTTTTTAATTATTATTTTCATACCATTACTTCAGCATAAGCCGTTTTAGGTATCCATCCTGCTTTCCTTTGTTCAGTATTACTTTTGAATTTAATCAATGTACAGCATTTAATCAGCATTAAACCTCTTTAAAGATAATTAAGATTAAAAGTAAAGGTGATGTAGCACTATTTTTTCAAGTAAAACTCAAGAGGCAAACTGGAATCTGAAAAAGTTGCATTTATTGTTTCATTGAATAAGGTTATATGTTCTGTGGTAGCCCAAAGCTCTTTTTGAAGTATTTTGGTTTTAGTGTTGCTTCATTTTACTCATAGTGACTGATAATTTTAGAGTAGCCTTTCATAAGCAGCTTTGTATATGAAGATGTTGCCAGTGGGAGAAAGTTTCACAAAGTTTGGAAGATTTTACTTAATATTTTTGTCATGTAGGTTGAATGTGATTTCAAGGAAACATCAATAGATGTTTGGAGACTTTTTGTCTCCAAATAGTTTTTCCAGTCACTTTATTTCTAATATATTTCTAAACTATATATTAAATTCTGCATTGTAGTGACACACCCTCTACAATTTCATTTATTATAAACATATTTTTGAGTAACCATCATTGATTTTAAATTATAGACCATTGTCTAAACACAGTCTTTCATCACAGACATAACAAGCATAGCTATGATGGTGGCAGCAGGTGTCCAGCTTATTGGTTTCGTACGCAGCATAGTGCACTTCTAGAAAAAATTTGCTGATTGTCCCAAATGCTGTGCTTGTTTCAGTTCATAGAGTGTTTGGTATTGACCACATAATGCTCCTTCTCTCATTTACCTATGTGGACAGCCTTGATTGTTTTTCAAGATTCTGTGAGTAGGACATAATTAATTGCTTTGTGCTCTTAAACTATAAAATTTATTGGCTAACACACCTGAGGTGGCTGGGGATAGTGCAGTATTCATCACCCCTGTGGAATGAGCAACGGGTCTTTGCTGACCTGGCAGTCAACAGTCCTGGAGGAAAAGTTCAGCCTCCACTGCTCCATAGAACACAAGGGAATTGTTGTCTGTGTTGCCAAGTTACAATCTTCCATTTAGCCAGTTTTCTTCCTTGAGGTTTTACACTTTTTCATATTACTGCTTTTCCTTTTTAAGCCTTGAGCTCCTAAATAGTGTTATTTCAAGAATTTTAGCTGTGTCTAGAATTTAGTCTTTCCTTTTTTGCATGAATACTAGCCTACATATTTTCTTATAACTTTTGTAACAATGCAGCAGTTTTCTCAGAAGACTTAGACAATGTTGCAAAACACTGCTGTTGTGTCATTATGCAGCGGATCACAGATAGCTGAACATCCCGGAAAATGGTAATACCTACCTACCTGCCCACAAAACTTCATCATGCACTCTCCCATCAGGATCTTATATTTCACACAAATATTTTCTAGTTCTTGCCCTATATTTTTATGTTGCCACCTCTCACAGAAATTTTTCCAAATTCATTTCTTACATTTCCACATCTCTTTTTTTACTGTGCTTTTTCCTATATTGCTGTTTCCAGCTGATCTCCCCAAAAGCAGCAGCTGCTTTGGCCGCCCAGCAGAGCCAGCAGCACAGGGCCCCAGGAAATCAGGGCTGCTGCTGCCCACATGTGCTGTCCTCATCACCTCTGTGGCTGGCAGATCAGCTGACTGCTACTTGCTGAAGAGCAAACAAACATATCAGCTGTGCTGCAGGGGCTTGGAACCTGAATCGACTGTGACCCCCACACAGAGAGTGTAGTACCTGAGGACTGGATTCCTAGGGTTTTTCTCCTGAAGGAGGCTGAGGACACAATGTCCTTGTGTTTCACCTTGTTTGGCTGCTCTAGGTTCTACACTGATTCCAGTTTCAGGAACTATTGCAGTACTTGTAAGCAAGGTCTGCTTCTCCCTGCTGGGGCCTCTTGCCGCTGTTACTGGCAGCATTAATACATCACAGTGTATGGCACTGGTGTGCCCTAGGATAGTCTGCTTAAGGGTCCACAAAACAGAAAGGCTTTTGTACTAATTTTCCTTGGTCAGCTTCACTTCACTTGAGAGCACTTATACTGGAGGACCAATCTGATCTCGTTTAAAATCCCTGAAACTTACAATATGGATATAAGGAACCTCATCATCAGCTGCTTTGTTTCATGACCTCTTTCTCTTCTGCCTCTTCACACATGCCTTTTGTATCCTGGTTTTAAGCTGAGATAGGATTACTTTTCTTCTTAGTAGCTGGTACAGTGCTATGTTTTTGATTGAGTATGGGAATGATGTTGATAACAAACTGATATTTTAGTTCTAGGTAATAGTGCTTTCCCTAAATCAAAGACTTTTCACTGTCCCATGCTCTGACTGCAAACAGGTGCACAAGAAGTTTGGAGCAAGCATGGCCAGGAGAGGTGACCCAAACTGGCCAAAAATGTATTCGACGGCAAAGAAATATTCCATCCCATAAAACATCATCCTTGAAATATAAACTGTGGGGAATTGGCTGGGAGGTGTCAGTTGCTGCTTAGGGATGGGCTGGGCATCAGTCAGCAGGGGATGAGGAATTGTATCGTTCTTCACTTGTTTCTCTTGGGTTTTACTGCACACTGTCTCCTTTCCATTACTATTATTATATTATACTTCAATAATTAAACTGTTTTTGTCTCAACCCATGATTTTATGTTTTTTGTTTCAAGTCTTCTCCCCATCCCTGTGGGCTGGCAGGGGGTAGAAGAATGGGGTTGGAAAGGATGGTTGAGCAAGTGGCTGTGTGGTAAATAGTTGCCAGCTGCGGTTAAACCATGGCAGCTTGCTGATACAAACAATGCTTAAAATTTCTCCACTCATTTCTGAGTCATTCAGACACTGTGGACAAGGCATGCATCCTTTGAATTCATCCTTTTCTTCTTTACCTCAACTGGAATTTCAAACTTACCCTCTTCCTTCTATCTGGATTTCAAAGATGCTTCCACTTTTTTAAAACAGCCCAATGGCCCTAACATAAGCACTGAATTAAAAATTGTTCACATTTTTCACTATTGGTGTATGTATTATTAACATATCAACTAGAAGTTTAATAATGAGATGCCCACACCAATGTTCATCACCTTTACCAATGTATGTACCCAGAACAGATTACTTCAGATTGCTTTGTGACAGATTTGAACTGTTGTAATTCCATTAAATTTCTGTACATAGATGTCTTATCCATGCCAGCTATTAAAAATTATATGCATGATTTTAAATATAAAGTAGGATGAGAAGTGGGATAAAGACCTCCAATGCAACTTGTAACATGATTTTTAAAATAAATAGAGAAATATTTCTTAAGTATTTACTAATGAACTAAAATTTTTGTCTGCCAAAAGAATGATGAACAATTTCTTTTTAAAAAAGTGCTATTTTTAACAAAGGCACATTTGCAGTAGCAACAGCTAAATTGCAGAAATCAAGAATATTCTGTCTTTTCTTTCTTTTTTACTTCTATTTTTGTTTCTCATAATACTGTCTTTGTTAACATTGATGACATTCTTCTAAGTCTCAAGCTGTGACCTTAAAGGTCATGTATAAGACTAATAGGCCTTCTTTAATACTATCAGTCTTTTAAGGATAAGAGCCTTAATTTTAATTAATTTATGCATTTCATGAGATAAACATCCTTAAATTCCAACCAAAAAAAAAAGTTAAAAATTTGGAAGTTAGTGAACACACCTCAAAAATGTCATTGTTTGTACCTCTGGAGACTTGATTAAAGTTTCATGGCATTATGCCCATTAACTTTGTAAGGCAGGAAGCATGCAAACTGGAGATCAAAATAATGTTATTCTTAGGGACAAAACTAACTCAAACTTCATGTTAAAGAAATGTATTAAATTCTAGTCACAACATCTTTAATTACAGCAGTCCCTGTTCCCCTTTTGTGGAAGAATAATGAAAAGTGTGAATCACATTTTCAACATAATTTATTTAAATCCTTCATTAGTGAGAATTGACATTTGTATTCCATACTAAACAAGCTCTTTATGCTTGGAAAGTAGCTCTATTAATTTGTTTAAAATTGCTAGGAATCTATTACCTTTTTTGGATGAATACTGATTGCTCTGCCATTGGTATTTTCACAACCAAATCAGATTCAAATGAGGATTACAAAGAGTGTGATAAAGCAATTGCTGGAAGAGAATATAGCATTTTTTTTTCAGTACTACTATCAATTAAAATCTACTCCTTCTGTAATCCCACAGCTGAACAGACAGGAATGTTATTTATAGGAGATGCAATAATACAGGTCAGTAAATATTCGCTTTTTTCCTCAGACATTTGTTTCATACTTGCTTTTATTTCAGTAACTAACTGTGCATTACAAATAATTTTCTCCCTATCGTATCTGTTTTTAGGTTAATGGTATAAATGTAGAAAGTGCTACCCATGAAGAAGTGGTAAGTCATTCCACTTTGATTTTTTTATTGGTGTACAAAATATCTTATGTCCAAACTGTTCTGTCTCTGGTCTTGTTTGAAGTGAATTTACTCTTTTTTACTATAAAGACAGTGCTATTGTTAGGTTTATAATATATTTGATTTTTAAAACTTTTCCAGTTATTTAATTCCATTTTGAAATAAAATTTACCACAATGTTTAGTCTAATCTGAAACAAAATAATTTCTTGAGTAATGGTCAGGTTTTATGGATTTCCTTCATTTTATCAGACTGACTGTATGAGGACAAAGCCAGTTCACATTTACTTGATGTGCAGTGCTTTTCTGGTCACAGTGCAAGGCCATATAGATAAAAATTGTTACCCCTGTTGCCTGTTTATTGGCAGTATCTCAGAATAACATCTGTAGCAACCATAAATCACATAGGCTTTGGCCGTGTCTTATCAGCAGGGCAGAAATTACATGGGCAAGGAAACTAAACTTGCTTTTATTACTTGAAGGTGATCTCTCTAGGTCAGAATAAAGTGCAGCTGCATGATCTTGCAGTCCTTTTCTTGGTGTTGATTAATACCATCAAGCTGACTCTGTTACAGACAGTGTCAGTAATAGATCTATTGTGTATTGGTGAACTGCCCTCCTGCTGCTTGTGTTGTTATTGCACAGAAAAAAATTAAACTTCCAAAAAGCTACTCCTCACAAAATGGTAAGTTACTTCCCTTAAGGATTGTTTGTAAAAACTAAGAAGTGCTCCAGAACTGTCAGTGTAACACAACAGAGATGAGGAATGAAAGACAAATGCATAGTGCTGCTCCTGCTGTACATGGGAATTCAGTGGAAGCATTAAGCATAAGTGCTACTACCACAGTCTGTTACTATGATCAGAATGGGGATAGAAGAATGCGTCAGGCAATAGAGAAAATAACTGGTTCCATGAGAGGAGGTGGGCTGTTGACAAAGCTCCTGAGAGAATGGAAGATCTATTATTTCTTCTTTCAAAATTATCTTTCCATTTTTATGAAATAATGGTTGAGATAAAGTCCTTTTTGTTTGAATATGATGGGTTTGCAGTTTGAAGGAAATGATTTAGGAAGGTTTGAGCACCAGAAACACCTCTGAAGAAGGTATATAACATATTAAGCTTGTTACACTATATTAAGCTAGTAATATAGTAATATAATGATTATGGGTAGTTGTCCAGAAAGCAGAAGGTTAAGAATGAAGAATTCATCTAAATTTTAGAAAATCATACCTATATCTTGTCTCTTTGTAAAGGATGCCCTGTTGTTACTATGTTAGTGCCCTAAATATCACTCAGATTAAATGAGGGATGCTCCAGCCCTTCTGTTCAAAGCACACTCATCAATGAGGCTTGGGCATTCTTAATCCACTCTGGGTTCAAGTTTACACAGCCTCATAAACATAATACAGTGTTAACATAATGCAATGGAAGCCTGTCAAAGGTTATTGAGTCATTCTTTTGGTTTGCTCTATATGCATCTGGCACCGTGGTCTCTTACATATTCAGCTTCAAGGTGGGATTCCTGAAACACCCTCCTGAAATACAGTTTGAAGGCATTTCTTGCTGCTTGCATTCTGGGGGCAGGAGGCCTCTTTTGCAAACACCTAACTCAAGGTTATGAGTTGTACTGTGTAATCCAAGGGATTTTGTGGTGGGTCTAGGCTGAGGCTACACTAGTTTTCTTTGTAGCAGCCAGTATGGCGGTGTAGTTTTGTTCATGACTAAAACAACGTTAGTACCATGCCAGTGTGCCTGTTATTGCTAAGCAGTGCCTGTAAGTCATCAAAGCTTTATTTTCCTCAGTTTTTCCCCTCTCTAGGAGTAGGCTGAGAGTGGCCCAAAGTTTTAAGGGGATACAACCAGGGAAGCCTATCTGAACTGAGCAAAGAGATATTCCATACTATATAACATCATGCTCTGCAGTAAAAATTGTGGGGAGTGTTTTCTGCAGGAAGCAGCCATTGCTCAGAGACAGGATGGGCATCAGGAGGTTGTGACTGATTTCCTTTGCAGAATTTGTTTTGATTTTTATCTTTGTCTTTATTTAAGTTACTAAATTGTCTTTATCAGAAAACTGTCATTATCATGAAGGTTTTGTTCCTTTGTTGTTCCTATTCTCTCTCATCCTGCCAATGAGGGGGAATGGGAGTCAACCCACCACAGACTGCTGAAAGTGATGCTGCTGGCAAAGGTAGAGATTCCGGATTACTCTGCTAGTCCAACCATAGTGATAAGCCATTAAGGGGCAGAAGCAAATATGTTTCTTACTTTTTTTAGTGTTGAACTGATGGGGTTTTTTCTCTTTGTTTCTCTTGTTGTAGTTTGATTATTTTATTTTTTAAATTGTAACTAACAAATGTTTTCAAAAATTTTCTTTCTGTTTTTTATTTTGTTTGTTTCACAATAACATTCCTTGCTGTTCAGACTTTTCCTCTGCTTTTACTTTCTGCCATTTTAGAATGTCTGCTGGTTCCCCCTTGCAGGATGTGTGGAGGTGCACTCAGCACACGCTCAGAAAACCTTTATTTTACAAAACTGAAGCTTAAGTGTAATTGTACATCAGTATAGTTCACAGGTGTTAAAGATCTAAAGCCCATTGGGGTTAATACATGGGAGAGAATGCTACAAAATCTGAGAACTTTAGGAAAGGAGGCCAGTTTGTTCTGTCTCCTACCTACCATCTTCCCTCCTGAGATGTTTATGTAGTTAGCTGGTCCTGATTGTACCACATAGATAGTTTTGTTTCTTGATCCTTGAACTTCAGCAGTGTTAAAAGGTGATTAGTTCTGGGCAAGCCAAACAATTAGCTACTCTGTCAGCAACAATTTAACAATGAACTGGCTCTCCTGTCACTTCTGATCACTTCTGATACTAGAATTTGGTTTTCTCCACAATTATTCAAGCTGCTACTATCACACATTAGTTCTGGCTAAGGGTATGGATAGAATAAATAATTCAGAATCAGTGCCAAGAAAATTTCTGCTTTTGTAGTAGGTAATACAATAGTGTGGAAAATTGAAAATAATTTATTTTCCTTGAAAGTTTAATTTATTTTTAGAAATAATCTACTGGTGTGGAGAATGCAGAAAATGTTAATTCAGAGATTAATATAGTTTCTGCATTGTGTATCAGAGAGGCAATTTAATTTTCCTTCCCAGGTTCTCAATGTGCATGACATGAAAGAAGCAGTCAGATCTCCTGAGTGGAGAGAAAGAGGGAAACAGGGATAAAGGAGTATTTTGGTGGAAGTTCACAGAAGTGTACAACTTGATGTTCTTTGGCTGGTACTTCAATTTTCAAGATATTCACAATAAACTGTGAAAGGAAATGAAACACCACAACACATGAGGTGGCAGTTTTCTGATTCAACAGGATTTTTTAGATTCATAGAGTCACAAAATGGCTTATTTGGAAGGGATCTTGAAGATCATTTGCTTCCAACAGATGATCTGTTGCTGTGGGCAGAGACACTTTCCATTACACCAGCTTGCTCAAAGTCCCATCCAGCCTGGCCTTAAACACTTCAGGGATGGGACATCCTCAGTTTCTCTGGCAACCTCCTCCAGTGCCTCACCACGTTCACAGTAAAGAATTTTTTCCTAATATCTAATCCAAACCTCTTCTTCTTGAGTTTAAAACTGTTCTCCTTTGTCCTATCACTACATTCTCTTCCCTCTTCAACTCTCTTGTAGCCCCCTTTAGGGTCTGGAAGTTCTCTCCTGGGTTTGCTCCTCTCCAGGTTCAACAACCCCACCTTCCAGAGCCTGTCATCACAGGAGAGGTGCTCCAGCCCTCTGAGCATCTTCATGGCCCACCTGATAATCGCAGGGCTGAACAGACTTCTTGACACTTTGTGGTGTGAGTCTGAGTACTTTTATCTCCCTGTTCTTAGTGAAAAAGAAAAATAAGATTTAGAAAGATTTTTGTGAGTCCCCGAGGTAAGCACTGCCCTCTGCTGAAATGCACTAGAAGTACCAGCTTGTTTCCCCCATAAGCAAATTATAGGAAATGTGATGAAAAACCATCTCTGTTGCCTTTCAAAGGGGCATTGGACAGGGTTCTACATAATCTCTCATGAAGGCTGTTTTATATGGATCCATGATTTGTTCAAATGTAATTTTGTATGAAATTAATCCTATTTCAAGGATTAATAAACTGATTAACTAGAAAATGCAGGAGAGGGTGTTTAGTTATACAAAAATGGAAAATCAGGTGTTGCATGTTATTTTTTTCATACTATATCTTATTAATGTATTTTATACATTAATATAATTTACATTATGGTAAATTAGTATGTTTGACACATTTTTAGTATTCCACACAAATCTTAATCTCTTTGGAATATTGCTCAGTGATACAGGAAAGTACTTGGAAACATATATTTCTTTTTATTTACAAATATTCTCACAGAAGGACATGGCTAAATAAACAATATCCATTGAAACAGAGAATCCATTCAGTGGGAATAATTTTAGATTTTCAGAATTTGAACAGTTTTTAGTCAATAGTAATTAATTTTTAAAAAATATTTAGTACTTCAGATGTTTACTCTAATGCTATTTAATGTGTCATTGGCATGTCTGGCTGGCACTGCTGAACATGTTCTTCATTAGGCTAATTAACTGAGATACAAGGATTGAACCTGAAAATTGTTTATTTTCATTGAGATACTGAGATTTTATTTTCATTTGTGCATTAGCTATTTTGGAAGTGAAGTTCTCTGCATGTTCTTCTGGAATTCAGTTCCAAACGGTGGAGCACAGACTATGAATTTTATCCATATAATATCAGAAAAAAAGAGCTCAAATAGAAAATATAGTGGAGAGTACATAACTAGAATAAGCACATCATGGTTAGCTACTCAACAAATATATCAAAACTAATAAAATAATAAAAAACATAGAGCTAGAGTAATGGATTATTAAAATAAAATAATAAAAATAATTATAAAATAGCTTTTCAAATAGATGCTTGAGAAGTAG